GTATCTGAACACAAATACATACTTCAACTAAGTTTTTTTTTACATGGGCTAAAAATCTTATTCCTCGCGGTCATGTTTATTCAATATAACTAACATCCACCGCAATTACAACTTAGATTTAGGATGTTAGCCATTAACCAGCAATTTTTTTCTTTCAATCCGCAAATAACTTCTTAATAGTAAACATGAGTCAGGCGATATTGTTAGGTGTAAATTCGCTAAACTTTGGTTAAAATACCCTGCACGCGAAGAATTGCACTAAAGTTAAATTCTGGGCCGTTAGCGCACCAAAAATCTCAAAAATGCAAAAAGTCGAAATAGAATAACCGTTGAAGCCTATTTGATCTGTTGTTTGGTCTGATTAACACTCCTATTCGTCTTTTTAGAACTATCGTTAATCTCTGCATCAAAAACCCAGGTGTATCCATTTGGCTTTTTGAGACATCGTGATTACTTTTTGAGGCCCTTAAATTTGAACCCTGTTGAAAATCTTCCACCTTGCCTCATAAAGTTCTTTCACAGGTTATTATGGAACCGCATGAAAACTGGCAATAATACAGACTATCAATTGTGGTCATGGAAAGATTTCAATCTTGGTGGGGCTCTGTCCCGCGGGGAACATCTGGATCATAGTTAATCTTTGCTTAAAGTCTAAAAATGTAGTACAGTTTTTCGTCACAATAAAATTGTTGTTTCGTTTTAAACAAAGCTGGCTTTGTTCCGGTATCTAAAACAGGGGATGGGCATGTGTCCGCTAATATAAACAGCCCGCTGAAGTATGTCCGAATTTACATCCCCTACCCTGTATGTCCTTACAAAGCCGTCAAGGAATAACAATAATAATACCATTAGCTCAGTTGTGCTATCAAAAAGGCAAAAAGAACGGCTAAAACGGGCCTATAAGCAGTTTAGGCCGCAAATAAGGTTAGTATAGAAGTGACTGAAGGTTGCTAAATAAACATGACCGTCAGAACCGACACTTTTAGCACATGCGAAAAAAATTGTTGAAATGTGTGTTATTGTTGAGATACTTCTTGTAAACAACTCGTAAGGAAAGTCCTTATTCGAGCCGATCACCGTGTATATAGGAATGTTTTTCTAAAATTAGCTACCAGAAAGGATTTATCGGTGCTTTACGATACACAAAAAATGATTTAGCGATAACCGTCCTTATATTATTGTCCTGAGTAGATCAAAACATTTGGATTTAGTGAGCAATTAAAGGGGTGCTTTAACGTGAGCTATTCTTAGATAATTAAACGATCATACAGAAATGACAAAGGACGGTGCAGTATATATAGTTTGCAAATCTAATTTTGGTCATGTCAATTTCGATTTTTCTTATTGCCAGACTAGGTTAAAGTCAACATTTTATTTAGTGTTCTTATTAGTCTTTTTTTAAACGTTGATACATAATATTTCAATTACTGAAGTAGCTACTGTAGTTAATGCTATATGCAATACAGTTCTCCATTATTTCCCATTATTAAAGAAGCTGATTCTCGTAGTTCTTAAGTACCTCTGCGGCTAAAAAGTGTAACACACTTGAGAAAGTTATCAAGAACCGCTCTGGCTCACTTGGCAGGGATGAAAATAGATTATAAACGGTCCTGAAAAATACGTTATAAATCCATTGGCAAGCACTGTAAGGTGGATCCAGCTGATTACTGTAGTTGCTTGCAGTAGTATTATATGAAATGAACTAACCGTAACTATGGTACTCCATACGAAGTGCTTTAATAACACTTTTGTTCAATTATTGACGTGAATTATCAATAACAAATTACGTTGCATATGATAATGGCTTTAAAAAAAAATTATATAAATTAATTAGCGCTTAGGGAGTGGCGATAAAATAAAGAGTACGTCAAGCTAATCCATACCTCTAAATACGTTGCCACCGTAGCTGAGAACATGCGGCTAACATTGGTTAAAATTTCAACATTAACAACGCAGGACCGAGAGATCGGCCTTTTTCTGGATGATACTCGTAGTAATACTCCTTATCCGGCGTGATTTAATATACAAAGAGTACAGACCGAAATCAAGCCGCGGTGGTCTTCGACTACAATGTAAAAATGCTGGACAACTTCATTTCAAAATTAAAGTTACTGATTTTTTATTTATTACTATTGTTTCAACCGACGGCATGGATTTAGGTTGCACCTGAAACATAACCTTTCCTTACTTTGTAATCAATTTGTTTTAATAAAACTTTAAGCCTAAGCGTATAACGTGATTTAAACCATTTTATTTTTTACATTCTGCTAACTATTAGCATCTAGTTCCCATAAGTCGTAATGCTAGCTCTGCAAAGTTCAATCATTGTCCTCAGATATTCACTGGGCTTTTATTACGTACTACTTTTTACTGAATCATAGGTCACCAAACGGCGATATCTAACTCTACGTATGTGGCTCTATTATAAATAAATTTACCAATATTGTGATTTTACACGTAAAACTATACGCGATACACAACAAAAAATAAATATCCACACCATTTTTTCAGGTCTAATTGATTCATAATCCAAATTATTTAATTATGCTTGTATTTTCTTTATCGCAACCCTCTTTGCGTGTATGCATATTAGCTTTACTCGGTGACCACGATAGAGGTTTTTTTAGTGAGGCAAAGCATTTCCCATACGACATACAATTGCGTCTTACAGTGCAACTTTTGAATAGCCTATAAAGGCAGCTTCGAAGAAGTTTGCGATTCTGATACCTATTCTCGATAAAACTCTTGAACGCTGTTTCGTGTTCTTGTTCTAGATCTGGCTTCTCAACTCTTCCTTTTTTCGAAATCCGCTATTAACATATACTTCACATGTGATAAAATAAATTAAGCGTTGCTTCCTTCACAACAATAATATGTGAAAAGAGAGATGTAGCATAAATGTTTCGACTTCGTTTATTATTATTAAAAAAGCTCAAAGTCGCAACTTCTTGATGGGCTCTGCGACGTGCGCGCAGCAAGTAACGCATAACATGTGACTGAAAGTCTGGACAATATAACCAATTACTCCTCGAATTAATTTTTTTTCTACTTTAGCTTGAAGTTGGCTTGACCCAATTCGTTGAAAACGTGCCTACATAGCCCTTAAGGGCGAGGATGGGATTCGAAAATCTGAAATTTCCGAGCGATATCCAGATGACGATAGAGTGAAAAAATATAAGCTAAAAAGGTTGTGTGAATCTGTTCCTGAATACTTTAAGCTTGGAGACCACTAACTAAAAAATATCTAGTTAAGACAACTAGCTATAATGCATTTTCATGACCAAAAGTAATTACTTTTTAGGGTACCTATTATTACGTCTAATATAATAGTTATAAGAATTAAATCTTCTTTATTGTATTCACGTACGCGAAAGCTCCATCAATATTAAAGTAAAACATTGCGAATAGCAAATACAGATCTCGATTTCTTTATCGTTCTTCTAAGCATTACGAACCATAGGTGAAATAACAGCATACAATATAACCACCAGTCAAATGTTTTTCAGAAAGATCAGTATTATTTTAACTTTGGTTCTAGAACGGCAATACTGACACATACTCGCATATATTCGAATCGAATAGAAAATAAAACAATTTATTAAGCAGCGTATGAAGACAACTACTGGCTAAAACCTGTCGAGACTAAATACAAGAACTGAATATGCTAAGTAAGCCTGCAGAATATGATACACACATGTTTTGTTTTCGTTCATTGTTAACTTACGACAGTTAAAGAATTTGAGAATTTCGACCCCTTGTTTTATTCGGGCCATCAAGAGTTTTCCAACAATGGGTCGGGCATCCCCTTCGCTCATTGTAGTAACGAAACAGGTTTTTGCTGATAACAGTCGAGCACTCTGAAAATAATGATTCCTGATGCACATTTAAGTCCTACTTTCAATTCAAACAATTATGATGTCGGTTGGCTTTTAAATAGCCCATGTATTATATATAATTCACATATAACGCAACAAGTAGTAATTCCGAAAGAAAGAAGACCTTATTCTGAAAAGATCTTATCTTAGCTGATTTTCCATAGGAGTATTTGATCCCTTTGAGTGCTTTATATTTTCAACTAACGTATGGAACGAATACAAAAACATTTTCACTCCGGTAGAGAAAATACTAGTGTTAAAAAGTAGACATATCTCTATTAATCAATCTTATTGTTTCGAAAAATTAGTCATTGTACAATTATTCTGAACACAATTTATTTTGGCATTTCATAATTGTTTATAAGTGTGACAACTTTAATATTGCTCTTGCCGTTATAATATTACATTATTGTTATTATTACTATTTTCATTTTCATAGTCATAACGCGTTAAGTAACAACACTGACTACTCCTCACTGTGCGCCATTGACGCTGAAGGCCAGGACGCTTTTGAGCGGTTATCACATCATTTTTTAAACAGGAAGTAAAACACAACACATTCACGCAGTAACCGAACACCTGTCGTTCTGTTGCCTTCTTCCGTCCTCCTCCTCGAGCCCCTCCATCATCCTTTAACTTTGTTGTCAGCCTCTTTTCTCATTCAAATTTCACTGTCATCTCGCTGTACTTAGCTGCTGGAATTGTTCGTATCTTAACCGGCTTACTTCTATCATTAAACCTAGCCGTAAACAATCACTATGCTAATATTACCAGGCTACTATAATAACACAACAATCGTAATTACTAAATCAATAATCGTATGTAAAAAACAAATATGGCGAGAATGACAGCGTTGTCGCTTAATTAGCGAACAATCCACTAATTTGCTTTCAGTTGCCTTTTAATCGTTTGCAATTTTGTCATTTTATTAATATCGCCTAATCCCATTTTCTTATGTTAATTGAATAGTACGAAAATACAGCGAGCTTTGGGGCTCGTTGTACAGTAGAGTTACGAAGACAGACATTGAGTCAATGTCGTCGCATGTTAGTCATTCTATTATTGGCTATGCGAGATGTTAAGACTTTTCATGACGAAATACGTGATCACTCTGCTTGAGAACTAGGAATGGTTTAGGGCTGCCATCGCGTTAGGGTGACAAGCAGAACGACAGCCACCGGTAAGGTTGTACAACGACTCGCAGAACGTGAACTCTGGGCTGAAATATAAAAAAGTAAGATATAGTGCTTAGCAGGCCTACAGAACATTCTAGGAGGCTATGCGCTCATATGTCAAATGCAACGTTATCACTTCGTTTCAACTCATACTGAACAGATTACCTAAAATTAAATTGAGTTCGAAACGAATCTAATCTATAAAGTTATAGGGTTTCACAAAGAGCATCACTTTGTCATCTTCTTCACCTGGTATAGTTCTAAAACTACATCTTGGTCAGTTATTACCTTGGTCATTAAGTCTGAAACATTGCTTCGTCGTGGATCGTTTATGTTTGCGCTAAGGATCGAGCCAGATCCATAAACTATTAACGTAACCGTGGTGGGTAGATTTACTTCATGATGCTTCCGGTATAGAACCGTTTTTCTACTAACTCACACACAGTTGTAAGGTAGGTTAAAGGCACTGGCGGTGGTACTCTTCACACGTCTTCTTCTAATTAATTGTCTGTTTATCGACATAATCAGCCTTTTTAAAATCAAACGTGTATTCTTAGGCATCATTCTTTCAATTATTAGCACGATCGATGTGCTTATGTGATCCGACTGTATAGGACTTAAATATATTGTAATATAGTTTGCCTAGACCGAGTTATCAAAACATAGAACTTCGCCGACCGCAGCAAAGTGGTACCTGTTAAAGACGGCTCAACAGACAGAACTTTGAAAAGTATTCGACGTTCGGTGTGCACAGATGCCTAGATGTTTAATATAAAGACAGTTTGTGCACCCAATTATAATTATCAGGTCCGTCGTATTTACTATAAGGTACGTTTTGCAATCATTTATCTTAGTTTCATATTTCTGGCCGTCTCAGATCTTGGGCTGTTCATCTAAATCACATATGTTATTTACATCATGATTACAGGAGAGGATGTCTGTGCAGTCGATTTTTAGTACCTAATGTGATGTAAACTATAAAAACTATAATATAGGGTTTTTCACAAATGTTTAGATATCTCGTCATCTATTTTCGTCACGTTAGTTAGTTAAGTCTGCATCTGTCACTTTCTCATTTAGCCCTGTACTTGATATACCACTCATGTGTATATTATTCATTCTGGCACATATGTAGTGTTGATGACTTTGCGTTCATGAAAATCACAAGAACTTAAAACTAGTTTCAAGCAAAATTCACATTTATTATTGATGTTAGTTTCGTCAACATTGAGCAATTGTTTGCTGATAGTTTCTAAGATTCAAACACCCTTTGAGATTTATGTTATTTTTTTCCAATTACGCCACCTCCGGATCTTATTTCTATGTAAACAAGCTCTCGGAATCACCTCTTTTTTTTCAATTTAGCTTCAAGCGCTTGCCCTTATTAGGAGTAATTTGAGTGGGTCTTGCTAGGCTCATTTAGTGTGAAGTATGAAGAAGTATGAATCCAAACGCGTATTCAGTCGAAACACTTGGAATCCCTCATGAACGGATCAGGTCAAGCATTTCCCTTGCTTTGGCTTCAGTCACAAAAAAATGTAATCACAGGGGCAGTTTTTTGCGGCAAGGCTGCACATTCTCGTGACCGCAATGGTTCCTCGCATCAGCCATGGTTTGCTATTGATATTGTGAGCTGCTCTGGGCCTTGGGTGAGCTTGGTCAGTTTGTAAAAAAGGGTGCTCTTGTGATCCCTGAAGGGTAAGTGATTCGCTCTTCTTATTCGCTAGCCATATCTACGCATCTGTTTTCTTCTATGCCGTCTTTCATCGCCGAGCTGCCTCTCTAGGTGCCGAATCCCCTGGAGACATTTGGTGCTCCTCTCACCGGTTCCTAGATTCGAACGTTATTTTTGATTGCCAGTTTAGGAACATGGACCATCCTGCGTATCTCTACGTTTCCTTGCATTATTTAGAGCTGACCAGCAACTAGTCTTAATACTCGCATGTGGATTTCGGACACCAATCCGAGATAACATGCGAATAAACGTCTTGATAGCTATTTCACATAGACATTCCTAGAAGGCGCTTATTATGTAAAACAAAGTAAACCTTTACTAGCTTTACTTACCGCCACCTTTACTAGCTTATTTCTAAGGTACGAATAGGTGCCAGGACATGGCCAACCTTGAAAGAATTTAGACAATTTAGAACAATTTAGACATATTTCGCCAACTCAGATATTATATTGCTATGAAGATTTCAGCTGTGATTAAAAAAAAAACTCTAAGTAGAACTCATAATACTTGAAAATGCCATGACACGTGAGTAGAGCTATCATCTGCTCCCGCAGGAGACCGCTATATAAAGTTAAAGATATAATTTTTTTTATTTAAGAGCAACGACCAATTGTGGATCATGTTGACGAGTCAGATGGATATCGATTTATTCTCGTCAAAGTCGTTCTGTTGAGGATTAATTATACTCTTAGCAGCAAATAACTTTGTATAGTATCTAGCAAGAGGTCTTCGCAGGAAATGCCTTACACCTAAATTGCCTAAAAATTAGCACAGCTTCCTTTCTATATAATAAAGAATACACAGATAACATAATCTCTGCTTAATACTTAACGTAAAGTATTGAGCCAGCGGTTACAAAATCTTATAGAGTAAAACATACTGAAGATGTTAATAGTAATCGTTTCAGCTACGAAAATATATTTTACTTTACAAAGTTACGAACTTGAATTGACACGTCACTTCTCATAATAACTCTATCGTATTGAAAGCCATTACACATGTCGCCACAGGATTCATTTATGATTTTTGTAAATAAGTCTCGGCAGGCGACAATATAGAGGATGTCCCGATGGTGACTGAAGCTATAGCAAGGCTGGCATCGTACACTAATTCTCCATAAATCGCTTACTTGAATCTAGACGTACACGCAAGGATTTTGAGGTTTATTAGGAGCATTGGAGTGTGAGTTTTAAATATATTGACGCGTAATGTTCTGTAAGTGGGAAGGACAAATGCTAAGACTGCAAAAGGTGAGCGAAGCGGAGTCTTGCAAACAAAGTCGCCAAGCATATAGGCATTAATGGTAGAGAAGTCATGAACTGAAACGTGAACTTATCTATTATTACCGTTTCGTAGGCAAAAAACATGTAACCACGATTCAACACAATAGAATATTTGTCTAGCAGCAAGTAAGCAATTACGCGGATATGACCTTTCTCACATAACATTTAATAAAATAAATTTCAAAGGGCTACTCCCAGTATCATATCGATCACAGGGTGCTTTGCATAGTTGGCAGCGATAATCTTATCCTAAATCATGGTAACTGGGTGTTCGTCCGATATTACAGTGACATCCATAAACCGCAAGTCGATTTGTTCTTAAATTATTCTTTATTGTGGCACTGGTAGCCTTCTTGACCTTGTAGAACTCTGAGGCTGTGTCGCTCAACTTTGGTACGTGTTAGCGAATGATTTGTACATAAGCTCCTATTTCTTTTTATGGCGAATTGCCGCCTCAGTTCGACAACAAATAGTGGTGTTCTACAGGGCAAGTGATAGGTTGGTTTCTAGCTGAATGTAAAGGACGCTAGGTCGAGGTTGGCTGACATTCTATGGGTCTGCGTAGTCAATTCAGGGCGAGTTGTTGTCATATTAATGACAAATAATAACAAAAGGCGCAATATGCAACCTTACACAAGAAAAGCCAGCGCCGTTTACGTGGATTCTCGGATGCTGTGACGGTTAGTAATAGCTTTCTTTTAAGTAATCTGCTATCAGAATGATTGTCTACTTGGCTTCAATGTTATTCCAAGGTAAGTAAAGGAATTCACGTATTGGATTACTCTTAGTTTTATGTTGTACTCTGTAGTTTCAGTGGTCTCCTTGGCTACCAATAAAGATGTAGCTTCATTGTGTGTTATTTCAGGGATATACCAGAATACACTGCCATATGCAATGATCTATCACAGTAAATTGCGATCGTAGCGACATAAAACACATCAAAAAGATGACGAACCGATGTTTCGGTGAAGCGCTGACGGTGAGCATAGCGCCAGGAATTAAAAAGTGGGGTTACAACACAATGCGTACTGTTGTTATTACAATAATGACTCAATTAGCAAAACAGAAATTTTTAGGATCAAAAATCCTTAATAATAGAGTACTTAGAAAACTTACAAATTTTTACGAAATCTAAAAATAAAAACGAACTTTTCAATGCTTTAGTTACCTTTATAGTAATGATTGTTCTCATCTATTGAGGTACCTCGTTTCCTTCTTCTAGGTTCACAGATGGGGGCAAAATACTGCACATATTTTTGTCATTTACAGAGGATTTCGCTTCGTATCCGAATGATAAACATGGATTATTTGCACAGGCTACATACACTACCAAACCTATGGTTTAGTGTGGAGGAGAAAAATAAGACCATAACGTTATCAAGCCGCACTTAAAATTCTGAAGCGGGTATTCGCAGCTAGTGACCTAAATGGAAGACAATTAATTTATAGAAACTTGAACAAGCTTATTTTGGGACTAGACTGATATGCTTCAAGTGGTCATATAAGCGATAAATAGTTGTAATACATGTCACATTTCTAAATGGCGGTTACAAATTTGTCTCATACATATTCATATGACAACTTACCCTTGGGCTGTGGTAATATTATTTGTCTTTTGAGAACTTCGTACGTGAATCCTTAGAGCATGCTTAAAGAAAACGCATTTTCACATATTTTTAATCTATTTGAAAATTTGTTTTGCATTAGTTAAATGTGGATTGGAAGAATCATTTCATCCTTCAGATTCCCATACTGGGATATTTAAAGAGCTAATTGGTTGATGTGTCATAGATTTCTATAGTAATGAAAGCACTGCAAACGAACCCTTAGGTCAATTAGAAGAAAATTACGCTTCCCTACTCAGTTTTAACAGAAAAATTTTTCTGCTGCCTTTTGTTTTGAAGGTCCTGTTTTCTGTGTCATGCTGAAAAGACAGTAAGAACGAAAATTCAATGAAGCAAAGTTTAGCTATAACCTGGGCTTCAACAGATGTCCGTCCAAGGCCGGTCAAAATTTTACGAATCGGAAAAGCTGTGTGAAGTTTAAATGTTGTCCTTCAAAAAGGTGACCTGATATAATTTTTTCCGTTTTCGAAAATATTATACTGTTAAATGTTTACTTTGTGTGATAAGTTGAGTCAAGCCGGAATCTATGTTCATCGTCGTTTTACTCGTTTACAAAAGTTTTACTGAGACGTTTTTGTGGTAACTAGGCACTTTTGACTGTAAATAAGGTCAAAAGGTTACCTTTAGTATAATTTATAAACTTATTATACAATATATATATATATATATATATAGAGAGAGAGAGAGAGAGAGAGAGAGAATAGTTTGGATTATCTATTCAGGTAACGGAATCATCTATCTAAATATGACAGCAAACATTACGAGGGCCTCTATTGAAGTCACCGTAGAACTAAGTAAAGATCTTTTACTGTTGACATTTTTGAAAAAATATCTCAACAAGCACTATAATTTGTCGATGTCGATGTTTATTAGGCGTGTAGTCTCTCTTATTTTGCATAGATCCGCTTCTCATTGCCGGTAGGAATTTTGTGCAGAAAGCATTCCTTATCTGCAGTGTAACGATATCTAGTTTTTAAGTCCCATGATTTAACTATACTGAAGAATAAGGAGCCTGAGAAAAAACAGACAACTAGAGGACGCACAGCACTCTGCAGAAAGGGCACGTTAACTTTCAACTTTAAAATATAAACTTTAAAAATTACCAAAATTACTTTTAGTCCTAGTTAATACGTTTTTATAGAGATTAGGCCTGATTTTTTACAGCCGAGGGCTAAAACGTTTTCACACTAATTTTCCCCAGTTACATTGTATTGACCTTTTTACGGGCTTTACAAGTGCTACGAATTCGAGCTACATATCTCACTGTTATATAGTTTGTTTCAGCGCTGTAAGGTAGTTTCTAAATTTTAAACGACAGACGTAGTTGTCATAACATTCTATCTTTATAATTGAGTCGTCTATGTACAAACTACAGATACGCATATAGTCAATTGCTTTATTTATCTTATAAGTAAATTTTGCATTTAAATCGGATGCTAGAAGCTCAAAAATTGAGTATAGTATAGTTTCTTTGATTTATTGATTGATTATTGCAAGACCCACAGAATCACTTGGTCTGTTCCCAGAGAAGCTCTAAGGAATTGAATAGATCAGTTGATAAGTAATTTGTATCGAAACATCTTGCGATGTTTGTTCTATTCCAGAAATTTAGCTTTGTCTTGAACAATCTAAGTCATAAACCGAACTCCAAGGAAGGTATATGTCGGCTAAATAAGCCTTGCACATTGCTGACGAAGTACAACCAGAAGCACCTTTTTTTTAATTATACATTGCTTATTATTTTGATTTACTTCTGCCTAATTTGTTGATAAGTTTGTAATATAATTTCTTCAGAAGACGCACCCGTGCTCACGGTATGTTAGCCTACAAAAATGTATATACATTACTAAATAATATTACAAATATTATTAAATTATTACTATTATACAAATGTATGTATTTTAAATTGGATTTAAATTTACACAAATTTATATATGCCCAATTAATAGAATCTTTGGTGTATAAAGATGCATGCGAAAAAAATAGATACAGGATTAGGTATACGGGAGGTATCGGAAAGACGGGAAGATAGACGGGACAGAACATCTTGACAAACCCTTTTTCTGATGCGTTTAATCGTGCTTTGGAACTATTTTAATCTCTATGGAAAGGATTTGTTCGGTAAATATCGCTATTTTTATCCTCCTTCTTTTGTCACCTTTTTAGGAAATAATACGATTTACGTCTACCACCAAATCTGTATGTAGGCCGCTTTAGTTCACATTCATTTCACACACAAAGTACAGCAATACAAATATAAATAGCTGAGTTCATAAGGCGTCCAAATTTCGGGAGTTTGAGATGTTTCTTTGCATAGAGGCAGGCGTGACCTATTTCGTTTGGTACATGGAAAATGGTCCTGCTATTTATCTCCCTCTATATTTCACGAGGCGAAATGTGCCGGCTCCCATTATTAAACGAAGCGTGTCTATGCCCGAGTCCGATCCTAGATCACGTGTTTCTATAATTAACAGGCAAATACGTTATCCACTAACCTATCATGCAGGCTAGAGTCAACCTCCTTGCTAGCGGATAGCCACCAAGTCGTCGTATTAGGCTAAGAAAGAACCTGAACCTTTTTACACTTTTCTAATCGTCTTATGATAAGAAATTATGTTATGTGTTCACATTTCTCACACCCTTCTTTTCTCTTGGCGAGACGGCATGCATCAAATGATGCATACCATCTCGCAAAAAGGTAGCAGGTCTTGTTTGCCAATCACGTCGTGAGTTCTTGATCTTAGTGGAATCCGTGTGGCACCGGAACTAAACTTACCGATCGACACTCTGGTTCATAGAAAGCGATCCCCAGTAAATCAAGCCCTTGCAGTTCTACTAAATGCAGGGCTTTTTTAAATAAAAATCTGGTTGTACATAGGGTCTTGGCTTTTTTCCTAGAACCATCGATTTCTGTTCCATGTTGGCGAATAGACACAACTTTTAATCGTCAGTAACAGTTCTGTGTCAAAACCAATTATTGTAGTTGCGTAACGCTTGACACCGCGCAAAATGTCGAGAGGAAGTATTAACGCCCAAATTCCTTGTCGGATTCAGAAGGTTCATGAAGTATTTAAGTTCCCAGCTTCATCTAAATAAACCTACCGAGCTTCAGAACAACGATCGTATAACTCCAACCCCACCTTTACGGCCAATTCCCGAACTGTTTATTGGTTATCTCCATTCGAAGGCGCCTTCAGCTTGTCGTGATCGCACTGAAACGGTTGACTAAAACAGCGGTGTCCTTTATGTCCCGATTACTTGCCAAACCACTCTAGTCGTTTTAAGCGTAATAAGGTCAATGTCCCGGCCTATTTCGGATTCAATGAAATGCACAATACAAAAGATTCTCGAAAATACACTTTTCTTTACCCGGAATATCAATTTTTGAAAACTACATTCGGGTTGATATTGAGAAAAAACACGACATAATACCGTTACAGCAAGCGGATAAAATAGAAAAGGCGTTCTCAAGTGGTATATCAGAAGTAAACAACGAGCGATGGGAAGCGGGAAAGATAAGTTTTTTAAAACACAGAAACTTCCTTGCGAACTTAATATATAGGTGTATGTAAACGATCTGCTACTCCATAGCCGCTCACCAGAACTTTAGCCGAACATCTTGACTTAACAAATAGAACATTTAAGGTAAAAGCATAGAGACAGAACAAAAAAATGTTTCCGGCTTTTCATAGAATTCTTACATCTTTCCTCTCTCGTCCTCTCATTTATAGATCAACCTTTCGGCTCACAACGCGTAGAAATCACGCGGGCTGCTACACGCAAAATTAGAATTTTCAGTACCAGGTTTCACTAATGACCCTCGCAACCGCCCAGTTATCATCCAATCTACTGAATGCTCTATATTACATATATCTGAATGTTAGATCGTTTATAAATCAAAAGCTTGCGGTTTATTCGGCTTATATACAAAGTGACTATACTTATTCCCTAAATTTGGTTAACATCTGCAGTTTCTAATAGTAAATTTTCTCTTTACAATACCTGCAATGTTTCTGTCCCGATCGCTGTTCTAAAGAAGGGCCGACAGAAAGCACTTTTTGTTTTAAAAAAAGATTAGATAGATTAAAAAAAGATAGATTTAACTAGATTGTAGACAGTTGCTATAGAAATTTTTTACAAATGCAGTTCTAGATGTCGCTATTCTGCTAACGCAAACTATGCCATGAAAATGACCTTAGGAGCTATCCAGGGTTTTGTCCTTTGAGTAGCTTAAATCGAAAAGATATCAAACATACCTTAGGTCATCTGATTCGCCTTGTAATTCCGCGCTTCTAAAAACTTTTTACGGTTTTATATACATTTAACCTTCCCCTTTTAGACTGCGGAACTGTTTCCTTTTACCGACGAAACGCTGAGAAATCGCTCGTAGATGAATGTATAAAAAAATTACTTATATCTACTAGTTGACACAGTGGCTCGCCCACATGCACTATGACTATTGTAGTTTATGGTATTTCTTGCAACAATCCCTGTTATCATTCATGTCACGAATGTTTGTTCTTTTTTTTTACTTTTTACTATTTTGATTAAATTTTACTAGGTCCATTTTTACCCGCATTTTTAAAACTCGTTTTCGAACCAGCAGGACCATACCATTATGAAAACGCTTAGAAACTAAATTTATAACGAAAGATCTTACGGACTCCAAATCGTTCGTCAGATTAGACCACGGGCGACTAAAGGAAACAGATAGTATTGGGATAGTACAAGTAATAATAATTTCCTTAAGACCACCGTGTTAAACAGTTTCTTCGCACTTCCATGTATATTAGAAAACTGTAACCGCAAAGAAACGACAGCTGTGCGAAGGTCATTGGCATGACCGAACATTTTCCTTCAGTTTAAGTTAAGCATCAGAAAAAACTGTTACCCAATTTTCATCTAAGTTGCGGACAAGTTAGCTAAACTCTTAGTTTCATTTTTGGTAGCTATTATTCAAGAGATGCAGTATTCCAGCACTTCTAACATTATTTTACTGTGGACGATAAAAAGAAATTTAAAACAAATAAATAAAGTTACCATGCAATAGTTGAAGAATCAGCGTTCTACATTGTTCTTTAGAAGCCCTTCGAAAATATGATATACATTCTAATAGTGAAAGGAACTTATAAGCTCTAACCAAATAGATTTTATTAAAGATAAAACGACATGATGAAAGATAAAATGAACATAATCTGTAAAGGATGGAGATTTTATACGGTGAAGCCATATTTTAACGCAAAGGCACCTTTTAATTGTAGATACTTCGACTCCTATAAAGTATTCGATAAGGAGAACTATATAATTATTTTTTTACTTCTAAATTTGAATGCTATAGCTATACCTTCAAGTGGATCACAGTTTATTTGACCAGCATCCCTTCTAACTGTAATTCGACAAAAACCTTGGAACAAAAAAGGCAGGATTTTTATTTAAAGCCCCTAATATTTTATGTTTTACTATATATTATAATTATCACCCTTTATGGTATTATATACTAATTGTACCTTTGAAGAATGAGAATAATTGCAATATGTTAAAGCAGGATATAGAGTAACTGTCAAGATAAGTATTAAGTAACCACATGACAGTTTTAGTAGCAAATGCGCTTACCTCTATTCTGGCAATGTTTTCCAAATATACGGATTAAAGAAAAGTTAATACCGACTGCAAACTCAGAGACCGATAGTCACTACGAATTGTATTATCTGAAACCAGGCAGCTCAAAGTTTCGCTCACTTAAATTGCAGTTAGCACATAGCCACTTGTCTTTGTTCTTATAACTACAGTTTATACATGTTTAATTGTAAAAAAAACCCAGACTTTTATTCCGAGACAATACAGTACATCTGTCGCATCTGAAGAAGATGTAATACTTCATGACAAGGCATTCAGCGTAAATGAGGCTGTACAAAAACCATTCAAATTTATGAAAATTTAAGATTACTAATTTGCCTAGCACATTTCTTTATATATTTTCTAAGAGCAAGGAGAGGGGCTTGGAGTCTTATAATTTTTCGAACAACTTTAGTAAATAACATGCGTATCGAGACAAGTTAAGAAGTGACTATAATGATATATCACAACTTTTTTCTAGAGATATCTTAATCATGCGTAACTCAATGCATTGTAAATATCGCTTTGAAATAATACTGCTAGACAAGAATATTCTTTTGACTAATTAAACCCAATAATTAATTAATTAATTGATGTATAATAAATACATCATATATGTTTGCTTACCTGAGAATCGGTGATGCATGACGTGAGCGGATACCTCTGCGACCCGCGTAAATCTTTCTCCACGCATCATACCGCAACGCAAACGTAGTTCATTGCGCTGAAAATTGCCCGGTGTCAATGGCACCCTTAACTGCAATTCAGAATCTTGTACGTGTATTGAATCTAATTCCACAGCTGGATACAGTGATGTCCAATCGGATGCCTATAAAAGTATAATCATACGCGTAAGAATATTTAAGTCTGATGTCTTCATCTCATGCAATAGGCATGGGAACATTGTTTTTTTTTAAATTTTTTTAGAGTCCACTGTTGATGTACAAACACTTGGGAAACGAGTAAATGACAGAAGCAGCAAGTACTTAATAGAAAAAGCTGCCTCCGAAGAATTAAATGGTTTTACTAAAGTCATCAGATACGTGCTGTTGTCTCTGAAGGCTTGAGGACGGGGAATGTAAACCAGAAATTTCCAATAAATTGAAACATATCTATTATCAATGTTAAAAATAAGCTAAGAATCGTTCATCATGTCAGAAAGCTGTCTACGTAATTTTTAGCAAAATTACAAATACAAAGACGGTCTTCCATGATAGCTTTCATGCGGATACCACATAGCGAGTCTATGGTTACAAGTGCCAAAGGTACAACCAGTAATATCTTTAACCATTTAACGATTCGATATGTCTCTGTAACCATTAACCCAGACGATCCATAATTCTCAGATTACGCAAGTTTTGCTTAATAGACGCAACAAGTAGCGCTGCTCTATAAATGCATTTTGAATGATAGATCCTAAATCCCGTGTAAACAAAGTTGCGGGCTTATATTCCAAGTAAGTATACGTTTCCTCAAACTCAAGTAATTATACGCTTTATCTATTCTTCAGCTTTACTGGTACTTACGTGCGACCATCAAAGCCGATGTAAGAACAACAGATAGAAGAATTGTGAAGTAAACGCAGGTTTAACTCTTCCACGAGACATCAATAGCATTTTAGCAGGCCTCACAAAGAAAATGTCGATGTTGCTTGCGATGTCGAGAAGGCTTTCTAACAGTTTTGAAATACGTCCTGAATAGCACATATTCCTACTATTTTTTCGATTCTTTGTGAATTAAATGCGTCTACAGTTAACGATTTTCTTAAAAGCCTTTCCGTTTGATATTTTACCACACTCTTCGAACCTAATAGGAACCTTTTTGATTCTCTTGATCCTAAGCTGCCGTACAATTGTTACATCATCGTAAAACGAACTCCGTTACTTTCTTATTCGCAGAAACCGGAATGAGCCTTTTATGCAGTGTGTATAGACCAGAACCTCCGTGTCCTTTTTGCCGCGCAAGCAGTCGTCGAGTTGAAAATTCTCTACACCTGTGGTTAACTTGGTCAAGTTACTTATAAAATAACGGCAAATATAAAAAAGGAAACGATGCAGCTAAACTGGATTGGTTAAAAGACGTTTTTAGTAAGCGGAAATCCCTTATAGCAAATCACGCTGGTTACACGGTCTTCATTCGACCAATCAAAAACTGAAAACTATCTAGACGTATAGAAATAATTGAAGCCCGTCGAAGGTATTGCTTCCTTTAATTTCGCACGTTGAGTGCAACTTTTTCTGGCAGTAAGCGCATTCTTTGCGGTTGTGTGTTTATTTGTCATGTTATCGCTTACAAAATACGAACTCATGCAAGATATCATCAATAGTTGTATGTACTACTCTTTAATTTCAGGATTTGTAAACATTTTGAAAACACGGCCCAACCAGAGTTATTTTATCACTACGGAAGGATCTGAGATAGCTTGCACTGCCTTGGTAAAATTACAATCATTTAAAGATTAACAGTACATTCTATCAGCTTCATTCATTAATAGACAGCAATGGCATCATTCGGTGCAAGTTTAAATTTCAGAACTCGCCCGGTCTTTCTATCATCTATCACTTCACTCCGATCGTTCTTAGGTGAAGCTCTCCTGTGTCAAAAGGACCACTTTCTAGTGCTTTTTGAGCAAAGATAGTATTTTTCTAGTACAGTCCGCTCTTGCACTGAACCAAGGCCTTTTGTGTATTGATCGGAAGTACGTCGCGCAGTTAGGTGATGCGGCACTTGAAGAACTATGCTAGACATTCACAAAGCAGCTGTAAAATTTGTTTCTAGCCTTCGAAAGACCGTAAATTGCATGGTTACACATTGAGTTTTAATCTTTCCCCGCATAGTAGCACTACCATACCCCTCTCCGCATTTTATTGTGTTTTTATATCCTTCAAACATAAAATAATATGCGGGAAAAGTACGAAAATCCCATGAATCCCAACATTTTTTTAAAATTAAAATAAGTGCAACCCATTTCAGCCGGAAACTTAAGGCACATGTGGAAAATTTGTATCTAATATGGATATATCTAACATGAAAGTTAAGCCACTTTTCCCATCATGTGTATAGATATCCACATAGGGCTTGATCAGTTCTATAACCTTTTTAGCATCCGTCGACCATAACGCTCCTGTTCACAAATTGATAATTCTAGCGCCTCGCAACATATTGATAACGATTGCAGAAGCTCTTTATACCACTATTAATAAGAAAAAAAAGGATCGAACATTGCTTGTACTAAATAATGATTGAACCAGTCTTCATTTGTACGAGGTGAAACATTCTTAACGCGGACACATTTCGGCACACTTGAGAGATTATATATAGATCAGAATAAATAATTAGAGATGGGCAAAGAAAATCTTGTTACAGTTATCCTGATGTAGGCATGCAACTTTTCAGCAACTCAGTTATATGTAATTAATCTTTGTTCTAAGCTCAAGTTGTCTTCCAGTTAAATGTATGCAGTGACTTCTTCATAATTACCCCTTCACTTTACCGCTATATCTTTATCATGTTGTACTTTGTTACGGCACTTTTTTGCCTTGAATACTAAATAACGTTTATCCCGTAATATTTGCAACGTTGAAATTTTCGGTATAAAACAAATGTGATAAGACCGGAGTAAAACTGGGATAGTATCTCGTTTAAACCAATTTTAATCAATATTAGAATTGAAATTACTTAAAAGACATAGCTATTCCAACCACTCCGCATTATTACATCCGTGATAAACTGATTTCGTTTAGGAGTGGGTTACGAACATCCAGTTGACAGGTTGATGCAGTCCTGTACATGCAATACTATAGTAGTGTACACATATATCATGCTGGGCAAGGCAAAACAGGGTTTTGAACGTCCGAAGTACTAGCCCACCTTAGATGGGTTCTTTTTTTAAGAACTAAGGAGGAGTCGCAAGAGTGTACTTGCCATTCTCTAAGTCAAGCTTTACTGACATTTGTGTAACTATCGTGATTATTCATGACTTTGTGATATAACAAATTATCTATCGTTCACTATCGGGACTATCCGGAATGTGAGACGTGTGCGCCGGTGTTGAATACTCAAAACATCCGGGTCCAACTTAAACAGTTTCAATCACAAAAAGACTTGTTTTATTTCTGTATTAACAGCTAAAAAAAATGATGGAAGGATACCGTCGTAAACAAATACGCAGTTATATAGGACACTACTTTCGGCATGTATGTGATTTCTTCGCTACACACATGGCTGCGCTACTCAACTTCGATCCATAATCCGCGCTCTCGGTCAATTTTCGTTGCAAAACGCCAAACCCGTAGGCCTGCGGTGACACCTGTTTGAGAGCTAGCCAAAGTTGGCTGTACTAAGGTCGTGTAATCATCTACAGCATTATCGTGTCACCTTTAGAGTACTATAGCGCCTATTCTCTTTTGCTCAAACCGGATTACTCCTTTCTATTAGGACCACCTCTGTTAAGTCTCGCGCGTATGCACTTTGGCATCTTTTGTAACGGATTGCCTTTCTAACTGCAGGTACCCTTAAATGGAAGCATTCAAGTACGCGATTTTGATTTTCGAGGCTTTGAACTTCGACAACCTTTACACAGAGCCAGCACTTTTTTGATCTGAGGTTATACGTCTGAACCGTTATAGAAGTCCTTCAGGACCCCCTATATGGTTTTCTGGATGTCATTTTTCCGGAGTGGCGCAGCGTGATTACCGTTTCACCTATACTTGTTCAATCCGTGAAGACGCGACACATCTTTTTGGCTCAGCACAGAAGCCTGCTGACGAGTACGTACTCAGAAACATTTCCCCCTGCGTCAAGTTCAACCGTAATGTTGTTCAGGCGAGGGTCTGCTCGTTGCATTCTCCTGACATCCGCCATTTCAAGACCTCCCAATTCCATGGTAGTCACCATAAGGAGTTTTGCATGCAATACGGGTTCTTTAATGCTAATGCTCCTGATATTGCTGCTGTCATCACGGAAATCCTTAGGTTAGAAGCGACTTCGCAAATATAGTAGACACAAAAGTTTTATCTACTACGCACGCTGGCTAATTCTGGCGTCGACTTGGCTTCAGTTTTACTTCGGTGTATTCAATAGTTGCGTGCAGGCTTCGTAAGGGTCGTGAAGGCAGACAGTGACGCAACAGTTTAGCAGTTTACCAAAAACCACCACACAGGCACGATCTCTTAGCGCCCTTTAGGAACGTCTTGAACAGAAATGGCAACTTTGCACGCCCCAGCAAGGACCCGCGCATAACATTCTCCCGCGTTGTGGTGGTGCTTTCCGTGGACTATTTTGAAGTCATTGTACACCGCCTTGTTGTGCATAACGAATTTGGACTGAACCTGGCAAGGGTCTGTAAGCAATTACGAAAAAACGCTTATGCGATCAGCTATAGATACCTGCTGCTACCTCTGAGGCCCTGATCCATTCTTCAAACATCCAGTTATCAATAAATAATAGCAGCGCGACTCCCTCCACACTGTCAAAAGGTCCGCCACAATCCGCAGCTTTGTATATGTATATAAAAAATATATATATATTGATTAACAAGTGTATATATATCTGGCCTAACAAACATTGAACGTTTTTTCTGACGTTAGCATCATTTGAAAGCAGGGATTTGGCAGCAGTAGATGTCATAAAACTGTTGGAATACCTTAATTCAACCGCCTTAAACATATGTGAAATGTATGCTATATTTTGCAATTTTATTACGGTAAATGTTTCCGAGGTTCATAAGAAATCTGTGGCGCTTGTGGTCAAGATACGTTAAAGATGGTTTTATCGCTTTCGTTTTGAAAATTGCATTATGAATTATGCTTCCCATAATTGTCGACCGATTGCCAAAGAAGTTTATGAAAAAAGGTGACCAAAACTGACGCGTGAGCAGTCACGAAATCCGCAAAAAACTAAATATCTATCATTATACAATTTCAAACCAATTGAAGAAAGACGACTACAAAAAATTTCGATGTATGAACTGACTCTAATGAATTAACTTGCTCGTATTTCCATGTGCGAAACCTAAAAAAACGTAATGAAGTGGCGCTATTTCTAAAGCGGCCAACCACGGGTGATTAGACCCAGATCAGGAACGATAATAACGTGCTAATAAAAAAAAAAATGTGTTCCATAGCCTGTGGCAAAGTTTAGGCTGATACCAAAGAACATGATGTTCTGTGTTTAGTGAGAGTAGAAGATAATCGTGCATTGTGAGGTGTTGCCGCCTACCAAAGCGACTGATTCAAACCTCTACTGTTAACAACTAACAAGATTTCAACAAACCACTGAACATTATCTACGAGAACAAATGAACAGAATTGGCAACGTCTTCGATCACGTAAATACCAGACCACATACATGTGTAGCTACCCGACAAAAAATCGAAGGAATTTAGATGAAAGATTTCATTGGATCAGCTGTGTAGCCCGTATTTTGCACCACCAGACTATCATACGTTCCGGCCTCCGAAAAACTCAGAAGTTCTGCAGTGATGAGATTATGATGTTTTTATTATGAAGTTACTATACATATATAAAGCGCATTGTTTTTTTTTTTTTTTTTTGTTATTATAATTTAAATCCAACTTACGTTTCGATCATTAACAAACCAGGTAAGATTATCCCGATGTCCTGCAAGCGATTCCCGCGTTCTACACGTTGCCACAAGGCCGTCATGCTTGCGGTAGCTACTGTAAAGACCCGCTATCTGAGGGCCGCCCATTTCTGTTCCTGTTTAATTCACACAGAGAATTAGTAGAATTTTGATTGGAAATCCATGTCGACCTTATTACACTGGTCTCTATTGTCATACTTGTGATTAAGTGTCAGCGATTCGGCTGAGTTTAGCTTCTGTAGTTACAAGGAGTCAGAAAACAACGTATGTGTGTAAAGCTAACTCAAATGTAGACATATTTGAAACAGGCACTAATGCGAATAAACTCCGACTTATTTTAAATCACATAGAGCGTAATGCTAGCCACTATTTTTAAAGGCAAACATTTAGTATGTAAATTAGAAAGTGTTTTACGTGACGCCAATCTAACATAACGAGTTTCTGTAAATTTCGAGTCGGAAAGGTCAAAGGCCTTTAAAGTATTTGTATTTTAGGCTAACAATAGTACGACCACGATATACAAGGATAATTGCAAACGTTGAAATAGAAGGAAATACTCTGTTGCTCATTACGTACGACGTACTATATTACAAACACCAACGATATTTAGCAAGTCAAAAAAATTACTTAAAAAAATTACGGACTTTTCAGCTGCATGGCAACAGAAAACAACATTTACGAAGGATTTTTGTGAAGCCTTTATCCATTTATGGCTATAAGCTGATAAGGTATCCGCGGAGAATAATTGGTTTAGAGGCAAAAATATTGTTTAGAGCTGGAAATTGACGCTCAGTAATTAAATTTCGATTTGGTTTTGAATGTGACGGCGATGACGGGACTCAGCGAAATAGCAATTCGGAACGTATGTAATCGCTTTAATAACGAAAATTAAGAGGTTAAAGACCACAAAGAAAATTATTATACTTCTAGGCCTCAGATATAAGAACAAGTTTTTGTGATTTAGGGAATTTTTAGACAGAACGCGGACAAGACGTTTCCCATTAGCTTAATATAAGGTTCTTTAAAGGATCTATCATGAATTTATAAAGAAAATACTAAAGACGAAAATTAAAAGCAAAAATGGCTTTCTCACAAACGGAATACAAAACAAATGATAACACGTGATGTACGATAGAGACAATTAAGGCGACGATTATGAGCTAAAAATTTGCTTGGGCACGCCATCGCCACCGACGAGACATGCATTGGTCTATGCCATTCATCACAGATAGGCCAGGAGAATGAATGATGTCAAACAGGATAGGAATCCGATGATAGGGTTAAATAGATGAATATCGAAAACATCTGTTATTACTAGATTTTGCTCCAAAAAGAAACGCTCAACGGCAACAAGTATTCCAAATTGGTATGGCGTGGCAATCAACAGCAAGCAGTGTAGCTATTCAACAATAACGCACAGTCTTATCGCTGTGCTTGAATTTTAAATTTGTGACTAATTAAAATTAAAAAAAATAAATAAAAATAAAACAAATTCGAGCGATGAGTTCAACCCCTGTGTCCTTATATTTTTATCACTTGCTTCCACGCGATGAGCTGAAGTAATGTGTCCTACCGTGAACACCTTTAAACAGATCATTGATAACCAAATTGGGGCAAGTGTTGAGAATCTCCCAAGGCGCTGGCTTCTATATGTAGGCAATAAATACACAAATGTACCGTTGTTCTGCCTTGTATAATTTCTACCCGATCAATCTCGACAAACAGCTCCAAACAACTATAAACCGTGTGATATTCGACTGGAAACTATGACTGTGTAAGAAATGGGAAGATATGAAAAATCATGAAGGAAGCACTACCACATGCTAAACACCCTCAGACGAAAAAGAGCATACTTCTGAGTGCAGGTATGTAAACAAGCCTGTAGCAAACCGAACAGAGGGGAAACAACAGGAGACATGTTTCTACATGGTAATGAACAAATTTCGGGCAAATTATATCTATCAATGACCGACTAATTATGGCCAAAACTTGATTAGGTAGGCTTAGTCCTCTTGTAGTTCTGACAAAACTGTGCGATCTGTCAACAATTATTTAAAAAAAAAAATCTCATGAGCACTATGTATCCCGCACACCAGTACCTGGCAATTACATGTTTACCTAAAAAAGTAGTCAAAAAAACATGACCTGTGTTGATTGTGTTAGGGATTTATAGAACTATCACCATGACGACAATCAATTAGGAAATAATGGCAAGCTTATGATTTGTAGTACGATCTTAATATCGGGAATACTTAGCTATGTGGTGTCTTTCACACAAGTTTAGCATCCAGGTAGAGCCTTTTATTTTCTCGAAACCTATAAGCTGAGTTGAATTTTAAATTGAGGAGCTTAATATAAGTAAATTAAATACGTAATAAAAACACTGGATGTACAGCACCTTCCATGACCTAACCAAACAGCCACACTAATATTGTCAAACTCTGCTAGAGTCACAAAATAGACTATATCGTGCATGTGGATTGGTTATTGGAATATTAGTATTATGTATAACACTGGGAAGAAATTTTGACGAGTATTGTGCCTTTTATATGGTACTGTTGAGGATAACCTCCTTAGCAATACTGGAAACGAAATTTTATGTATAGTCAAAATTGGCGCATGATAATAGCATCATCTAGACAAACATTTACATACTGTACAAATTAAATAATGTTTTCTTAGTAAAATGCGGCTTCACATGGTCACAAGGTGTTTATTTGTATAAGCATAACTATTCAGTTTTTCAGTGAGTTATCTTTTTTGAATGAATTTTTTGTGAGCGTTATAATTTTAACCAAAGAATGCATAATAAGTTATACATACGTTTTAACAATAAAGCTAGGCAGCTTTTAAGGCTGTGTTTGAAATCTAAATGCAGTTCTCCTGTCCGGCCCTCCAAAACTGATCTAGGGGTGTTTATCGTAAGAACTAATGCAAATATACAAATCCGCTGTGTCATACCTCTTATTACGTGCAAACGGCTACTGTTTGTTCGAGCCCTCACTCGGATCTCTTCACTATTCAGTTGATAGGTGACGCCAATCTGCCCACGACAGCGTAACCTCAATTTACCCTTATGATCCACATGACGTGGTTGTACGCTAAACACCAATGATCGTACCAGTGTTACTCGACCGTCATCATGCACTCGATCCATAAGTGATTCAAGTTCTTTTTTCACCTGAAGATAGACACGCAAAGACACATAAAAGCCCGACTTGGTTTTAGTAAATAGTACATTTAATTTGGTTATAAAGATTTATGAGGGCGCATATGGGTATGTAATGACACAGATTCTAGGGTATTCAAAGTGAGTTAAACGAACTAGCTTATCCGTGCTATTGTAGACATGTTTCATCTTCATCTATTATGTACACATTGCCAAAAGATTTCTGGCAGCTTTTCTTCCGTTTACCCAAGTTGGCGTAGTGACCATAGTCTTTTTTGTCCAGTTGATAGTCGCTGCGAGAGAAACTATTGTATTCATTCGCGTTTTATAGGTGAAGCGAATAAACCCACCAAAGCCAGATATATGAGTATATTAAGCAACTGAACGGCTCGCTTGTGCTGTGTTTCTTAAAATTAGCTTATTTCCATCTGACACCTTCGAATGGCCCCATAAACGACATGTAGAGGGGTACAAGGGCCGCAACAAATCCAACGTGATGGAACAGTAAAAGTCTGAGATAAATGGGTCGATCCGTTTCTAGATGAAGAGTGGGCGGCTTACCTGTGGGTGCTCGCGCAAATATGTGAAAACGTCGTCGAGCTCTGTGTTCAAATGAATGCCCATGATTAATATTCGCGTTTAGTGGTTCTTAACTTAATTCATATATGCATTACAACCAATAAAATCTTGTTGTGTAGAAACACATAGATTTATGCTTACGGGGCTGTCATTGAAGACCAATCGAGTGGTGTCATACTCCATGCCCTGATGTGTTACAATAGCGCACACCGGATATTTTGGTATCATTTGTAATTCTAACTCTTGGATTTTTAAAGCGGGAACGCAACCGTGTATTCCCGACAAGTTCAAAGCAGCTTGTGTAGTTACAATCGAATTATCATGTACATATGAGACTTAATTATTTTCACCAAATCTGTCATTGTTCGCTACGAGTATTTCATTGAATAACAACACATTATGTGTTTGGCTAAAAAGTGTAGTCTAGAAATAGCTTTTCTGCACGCCTAGCAGAAGTATAATTTTTGAGCCGTTCGACTTTGATAAGGAAACTTTGGTAAGTTGAGACTTCAAATTGACTGACCGGTTGAAAGCAGGTACATGCAATACTGCATGTGCAAAGATGAAATGGTGCATTTCAGCCAAGCGATCAACCGTTTCCGAAATTACAGTACTTCCTAATTTGGCATAGACATCTATATTTTGAAGTATCTTATGAAATAAGTTATTGATTTAATACGCTTAAATATAGGATTAGTTTGAACTTATGAAGCGCGGTATCCTTTCGCGTGGAGTGTATTTAGTATAAATGCTAACATTTCTGTATTAGCGTAATTCAATTTATTTGTTACAGTTTGAAGACGTTGTGCTCGCCTCCATAGTGTTTTAATAGTGCAAGATATACTTAGCTGTGAAAATGTCTTGTTCGGCAGAACAGGCTTCGGACTATAATCCTTAACAACACCTTTTTTTAACCAAAATCAGCCCAATATTATATAGCAACAAACAGAGGCCATGATGGGACGTCAGTCGTTCGTTTGTTCCTGCTATGTTAAGCTCCTAAGCATGTGGTGTGAAATTCGAGGAAATATTTGTGAAAACTGTTCTTCTCCATTTACCAGCAGTAATAGATTCACATAAATTATGGATTTCAATAATATTTTTAAATTTAAAGCTTGTGCTATCTAGTAATACATTATTTGAACCGACTTATCCAAGAGTAGTGGGGACGATAAGTGCCACCACAGATGGCCCCCAGTGTAGCGACTGCGACACTGTATCTTAATCTTAGAAATCATCTGGATATTCAAGTATAATTTTTTAATTATGGTGTGGACATCAGGCTAGTCCGTTGAGAATCATAGTTATTACTACCACCTTACATCGTAGATTAAAGCCAGTGTGTGTTTATAATGGTATTTAGCTTTTTACGCCTCTTTTTAAATAAATTGATATTATTCAAACTTTCATTCTACAGAGCAGTCTAATCGGCCGTTTCAATTTGACCCGAACCGAGTCTGATTGATACAAATCTTTTGAGATCACCTGTTGGCTGCCCTAAGGACCGAAAGAATTTAGAACTTTATTTGACGGTCAATAAACGCTGACATTTTAGAGGATACAAATATTTAGGATTTGCAGCTGTATTCTTTTGAAATTTCTAGTCATGAAAAAAATATTAATGTTTTCATCAGCATACGGATCTTGTTATCCGTTGCTGTAAAAGCCGTCTTACAACGATAAGTAAAAAAAAGAAAAACTGGGTAAATTGCCTCAATTTTATCTTCGTCTAAGCTGACTACCAATAGAAGGCTTTGATTAACTATTACCTTAATGTCAATAAGGATAACTGACAATATACGACAATGATAGTATCCAATATTCTGTTACCATACCTACCGTTCTTTCGATTAGGCAACCAATGAAGTAGCAGACCGTAGCAAAAAAAATCAATATATTTTTTCGGTAGTAAAACGCGAACTTCTATCTCGCTTAGTCAGTTTACTTAAAAAATTTTTTGTTGTACGCTGAAAAGTTTACTTTTCAGAGCCCTTTTAAATTATATGTTGTTATCAGAGCATATTTAGACCCTAAAGAAAACCTGTTGATGAACCTTTAATGTAAGTTTATATTTGTGAGCTGAAATGTCTGAAACTAACTGGAAAGTGAATCGCTCTTAGGCATATAGGAAAACGCAACATTCACGTTTAATGTTTATATTTTTTCTTAGATAAATGGTTCCAGAAAAATCTACACCAGTATGAATAAATCGAAAGCTTCGCTCAATTACAAAACTTTGGAGTGCAAGAATTAGCTCCGAAGCTGTAGCTCCTTGAATGGCATGTATATGTCACATATTTTAATTACTTTCCTAGTGATTTTTTAGCTGCTTAAGATCACGAATTGTAATACAAAGACGCTGGCAAGGGTGGATCAACTCACCAATAGTTTGAAAAAAACATTTTCAGCTGGCAAAATTATTGGATTTTTTCGTACAAAAGCTGTTTGCACTTTAGTCATAATTTGCAACGTATTAAGCCGGTATCATCTATAGATAATTCACACTTGAATAATTTACTCCATCTTTACATCCTAAATTGAGTTCTTAGGTTTTTTTAGCCGTATTTTATTAATGCTGTTGAAAAATTCTGTTGTTGAATGTGGTTGCCAGCATTAGATATTTAAACAGCATTCTCCGCGCAATTTTATTCCTACAAACGATTTTAGTGTAGTTAAGCATGAAGGGACCCGTACCGAAGTTAAATCGGCAACAGTTGTTACAACCGGCGCGAAGTTCATAGCAGATGCTTTGGCTTCTCTAAATCTCTAAACTGTGCTCGACGATGGTTTATAAACTTCGATACGACCCATGTTTTGACAATGGCTTTTCGTTACCTCTCAACCAATTTTGTTCTTTGTTGCACAAGTTAGTCATCTCATTAGTAAATGGCGTATCTTTATAGGCAACATTTGCCATATTATCTAACATGCTGACATGATTCCGTTCACTTCTTTGAATTTTGTTAATTTTCTTTGCAACGAATGGCTTTCACCGAGTTGGAGCTTCTTTAAACCAGTTAGTGCTAGTGTTTAAACGCTATCATGTCGATTGATAAATCAACATAGTTTTCGATGTTAAAGAAACTGCGATTAACATTGCGAGTAGTTTAAGGCTATGGTTTGAAAGATCCTCTTTTAGTGCGCCTACACACGCTTTAGCCATGACGAAACATGTTATATGGAATATATGTTGACCCATGTGCAATAAGGTTATGCCATGGGCTTTTTAGCTAACAAAAAATGTGCAATTTTTTCACTTGCTACATTAAACCCTAATCCTAATTTAGTTAGTTTTATGTTATCAGACATTTCGCAGTAAGATTTTCGCTTGTATCGTTATAGGCATCAGTACACAAATATGACTGAACATTTTTCGTGAACTTTTAGCAAATTTCTTATCATTGGATCTTTTGATGACAAAAAAAAAGTTGCGCCTTCTTGCATAAACACTTAACGTGACGTTAATGTTTTCAGTGAAAAAGCCTACTTATTGGTTTCGTATGATACCCAAAAATCTAAATTCACAATTGTTATAAGTGACCTTTGTGTTGAGAGGTATTGCAAATTTTTTGATAAATATCTGCAAGTAAACGGAGTTTTTCGCCCATTTTTTATTGGAAGGAATTTTTCAGAATAGAAAATTTTACCAGGCAGATAAAATTCGTTTGTACTGACGCAATATAATATCATATACATACTGATAGCACGAACTTCGCGTGCTTCTGGAATAGTTTATTTTCATTTTCAAAATGAAAAACACTGAGTCGCTATTTTTGCGTTAACTCTTAAAGCTCCAATGTTGTACGACTTCGTGCTATATCGAATCTCTGAATACTTGCCAGAGTACTACTACAATGAATTCTTGGCCTATAACTCTATCTGTATTCCCCAAGAAACATGTGTTCGACATCTCTGTTTAGCAGTTGGTATGGCTAATCGAACAAATCACTTATATTGTTGTATATAGTCGAATTACGTTATAAAACTGCTCCTATCATTTATGGAATGTTGCTTACCATTAAGAAACAGTAAAACTGATAGTGGGAAAGAGTAATTATCCTTCATACACCACGATAGCTAAAGCTTACATGATGATTCAATATGATTATACGATTATTACATCTGATACCCAATATTAGAGAGTCAATTTTTAGCTATCTCCGTTACCGTATACAATATAATATTACAATCTCGTTGTGGATACGTAATTCTCCGCTCGTTTGAGTGCTACGAATATTAGCTAAAATAGCTATATACAAGTGAAATATGCGTTAAAACTACACCTTACAGGAGTCTATCTTCATGTTACAGGATACCAGTCACATGCAGTGACCAAAAAAAATTTCAAATATATGGTGGCAAATTCACATACTTTTGCCTGATTTCTACAATCAACAAACACGCATTTAAAGGTAAATTGGATCGTTCATCGTGTGTTGGAACTTATTCTAGAGGATTATATGTTTCAGATGCTTTCGTCGGTTTCAAATAGTGCTGTTGGTCATCAAAATAATAATTTTTATAAAGCAATAACACGCTTCAACATTCTACAATTATAACCAGTTTAACATTTTTCTGGTTTTGTCGGCATTTGGGTGGCATTTAATAAAAGAAAAAAAAAAACGAAATCTTAGCTTGGTGCGTGTGGTTCGATAATATGTCTGCGATTAATATAAAATTTTAATACTAATAATTTCATTTTGTATCTACTTTTTGAAATGGGTCTCAAGTGAATGCGCAGATGTGATTTGGATATCTGGTTTAATCCCTCAATCAAGACAGTGGTTTTTCCCAAAAAACATCCTATATGACATATTTGCTCACTTTTCTGTACTTAGTGCCAAACTTGTGCATTAATAAGAAAAAAAAAACATTGAGCTATCGCTTGTAAGATCGTACTTTTCCTTTTTCTTTATTTCTGCCAAATTTTTTGTGATAACACGGTGTAGGCGAACACATAAATTGAGTTTCATAAAAGTTCTGACTTTCTTAGGAGATCCTGTCATTCTTAAAATACTTCTTAATTACACACCTTAGTTCCGTTGATATACCAGCTGAGTGAGCACGATGTTCCCTTAAGTGGTCCAAAATAGCAGGTGGCATTAACGAGATCATTCGTGCGGTAGGCTGAGTGCAGACCTACTACGACTGGATCGCTATCAGGAATATCTGGAATCGTATACCGAAATGCATCGTTATGTGATCACATTTATAACAAAATTCCATGAACAACCATGTAGAACCATTGACCTATTTCTTAGTCCACTGTGAAATATATGTAAGGTAACAATGTTTCATTATTTGTGTTGAATCTGACCAACTTTTAGAAAATGGGTGTTTCTCGTTGAAAAATTTTAACAAAAATGTGAAAACGGGGGTTGAAGATATTATGACCGATTCTTAGACGTTAGAACATATAATATAGTGGTATGAGTATTACCTTTTATGGCAGGCTGAGAAATGAATTGCAAACGAAATACATAAATCGACGACTGTGTAGTCGTGTAATCCACTCCGATGGCGTAACTTACCTAGGTAGCGCTGCCTTGAGTAAGATTCGAGACTACCGCATCATTTTATGCCCAATTATATCTATGCAAACGACAGTTTTTGTATCATATGTTTTGGACTAACAAATTACAAGATTTACAAATGTGGTCTCATCGTTAAGGGTAGGTTATATCACTCGCGATATGGGTTCGAATGTGTCTATATGTTATAAACTACAATGCTTTGCGTTTTCCTGTCCTTTGCATTTGCAACTCTGTGCGAATCAAGAATATCTTTTCCAGCCAACTAGCTAGCTACGTTCGAACTGCATCATGCCTTTAGAAACAAACTTGTCAGCCCAGTTATTATATGAAATTTATTCTAACACATTTTATATCTCTACGTTTGATCATGCTTTTCTGAGCTGTTTCTCACTAAATTTTCGGCTATTTTTCTTGTCGAAGTCTGTTTTCAAACCGTCATCTTTTGTCTAACGAAAACTAAATGATTTTAGCGTTGACATAGAAGGAAAGCTAGTAAGCAACGATCTTGCATGTAATCTTTTCGTGGTCATAGGGTTGCTCTATTGTATGTGGGTCGTACTTCACAGTGTATCCTATTTACATTCTTACGAACTTCGTTGGGCTGTTCTTCATAACAACCCGCTCATCCATATTTCTGGTACTGCACTAAAGCCAGTTATTTCTTCGTCATGCCAGAAAGCAAAACCCTCGTTTTTACAATATAAGCAAAGATCACCTAATATCACTCACGCAGGATAAATTCCTACCAGTATCCTACTCTTTTTCTTTCGAAGTCGACAATCTACGGTATTACCAGTTTCCATATGGCTTCCAAACAATTCGAAAAAGGCTTCCCTGAGGTTAAGTGGAAAATGCTCGATGGAATTGAGAATGAAAAGGCTCGAAATTTCTTAAACTAGTGCCAAAGGCTATTTTTGACAATACTGATCTTTTCATACACAGACTGCCATCTGTTTTCGAAAGGTTAGAACCTGTTGCTTATGAAGTCATTCACGTAAATTTCAACGATTAGTCTTGAGCTTTTTGCACCTTTCCGACATCTTGGCCGTTTTAAATCCTTGTTTTTTTGGGTCTTTTAATCTGCTAACATACGACTACTGTTAAAAAATTATTTCCGGGTAAGAGAAGGCCATTGCATAATAATGTCGCAATACTTGATGAATGAACGAAGGAATGAACACCATCAGTCACATACGCAAGAGCTCATTTCGAAGCTCCGCTGGTAACTAAATTGCTCTAGCGGCCTTTCTAATGTTACCTGTTATAATCTTCCAATTTTTACAATCACCAACATCAGCTGTTAATTCTTTTACATAACAGACCGTACCTTATCGCCAATTTAAATTAAGAAAATGATTATCACTTAGATATTTTTCCAATTTATGGGGCACCGTCACACTGGTTTTATTTATGAAATAGCGCACAACATAATACACAATTGGGTTTTTCATATGGCCTCAGTTTGAGACAATTCAGGGTCATGTTACTTGCTCACTTGCTAATTATGTCTTATTTTAAGTATACAATCCATTAATTATACGTGGTGTTTGTGTTCCGGAATTAAAGATAACTACGTTACGTAGTTCTTGATGCAGAGACACCACTAAGGATTCTACTTATCAACTTCGAGGTTTTTTGGTATTAATTTTTTGGCTCCATATTTTTCAGATATAACGCCATTTCTATTTTTCTCTTATTGATTTCTACCATTTCGTATAGCTAGCTCTAATTCATTTAGCATATTACATTTAGGCATCCCAGCTATTGCTTCAGGCTAGAGTTTGTATAATTCTCAGACATCCCTATGTTCTTACTCTCTCCCTGTATGTCTCTCTTTTATTCATTTCAAGCGCTTGTCAACTAATACTAATAGATTTCGTACTTAAAACTTTACCTATCGCTTTGCTTTATCTAAAAAAAACGTCGTCTATATTTGTTTTTTGCGAGGTCAAACGGCCACGCGTTAGCAAAGAATATGTTTGTTAATAGTGATTGAAATTCATAAGTGATATTTTTGAACATCAATATAATAGTGGTCAAACTCCACATCCAAACTTTTACATAGTATCTCAATTACGGAACATTAATTTTAATCGTTAATGGTTTGCTCAATTTTTAGTTTAATACTTACCATTATATCTTAATGTGGTATCCTTTTTCTTGGTTTACAAATGGTGCACAACCCGCGTCGTGGCCTTCCTTGCTTACTAGTCGTTAGGACAAACGGTATTGCCATGATTGATAGGATTTTCCACTTCAAGCAAAAGATGCGCCTAATTTTCCTAATTATGATACGATACTTTTTTTTTAATTTTATATTTTAAGCTTTTCTTCTCTAACTATTACGATCCCGAAGCGTACTCACAGTAAAACCTCCATTATGATTATATTCGATAACCTTTCTTACACATAGCTAAAAAATTATAGCTTAATGTGGAGTTGCTGCGTATTATGATTATATATAGTTAAAAACATATATCGCCTGAGGTATTGTAATTCCTTAATGAACACACTATAACGCCCTCACTAACTGAAAAAATTATTTATCTTGAGAACTTTAGCTCTAGTGCGAGCCCGAATAGATTGTTGTTGCCATTAGTTTCAACAGCCACCAACAAGCATATACTATGGTATAACGATATGTCACTATTATAGCGGTAAACTATTAACGACTGCTAATTTTACAATCAGAAGACGAGAGAGCTCAGCAACTTATTTAACCTGTGTGAGACAAAGCTAAACGACAGTACCGCCAGTTAAAAATCGAAATATTTATTCAGCCGAAATTACTCGCAGCATATTAATATTTCCGAGTAAAGTCAAAATGCTTTATTGGCTAAAAACATTTTTATTTAATATAACCTTGACTTGTTATTCTCGGAATATATACAAACTTGGTTTACGGCAAATGCATTTGGTTTCTAAATGAGTTTATTAAGGAATCATTCGGCAATGATTCTGACGAGAATCTGTTTTTGTATTCTTTGTATACATTTTTAACATACAACACTTTGATACAACTGCTGCATTTGGCTTAGGAAGCAATTTAGAAAAAACAATCAATGTTAATTAGCTTGCTTAAATTTTTGTATTTTAGAACCACCATTAAGAAGCCTAACGCTGCCTTTGAGATATTTTGCAGGCCATGCGGGATTACTTAGCCGCATAAGCAAGGCATTGTTTCTACATTTGTTTGCAATCGTTTCCACCATTTGCATTCGACAGCGAGTTCCTCTTCGAACTTGCTCTAAAATGTTTCCTTTCCATGACCGGTACCCTATACTCTCTTTTACGCATGCTGCCTACGTTGCCATCTATCCATACTCATCTCTTTTCTACCCGCTGTCCTTCGTTCGCTCTATATTTGCGGCGCAACCAACAACCGACGGTAACCGATTTGGTGTTCAACCAACGGAAGGAAGGCAAGGCTTTCCAACCCGTTTACTTTCCTTGCACAAAAGTCTATCCTCTTGGGGGCGATGTGGAGAAACTTAGACCCTTGCGGGATTTTGCTTCGACTACATGGGACAGAGACTAGGTTTAGTCTGAGAGGAATAAAAAGCTGCATCGGAGCTGAAAGCTCTGATCCGAACAGCGTGACACGAAGACGCCCAGAGTCAAAATCCTGGAAACTAAATACCGAGCAGGCACTTTTTGGTAGAAAGGGTGCACCAAAAGAAACGACGGGGCCACCATGATGGTTTAAAAAGCTCAGATATAATCCATTAGAGGTGGTTGCTGGGCACCTCACATTTGAAGCCTGCTGAGTCTGTGCTGTTCTCATCAGCTTCAGGAATCGCTGACCGTAAAGCTGACCGAATTTCTTAGAATCTGAGAGATAGGTGGACAACAGGCTATAAAGGCTGCTTTGCCTGACTTAGATAGCTAGGAGTTGACATGGGAACACCCACATAGAGATGGATGGGCGAAGTGAAATGCTAGTTTACGAATGGCGGGCTGACGAAGATTAGATAATTGCCTTCTACTAGTGCTTCTCGAAATAATCCAGAATCTAGGAAGCCGCCGATTACGCCGGTCATGTTGAATGTCAAGACAAAAAAATAGAATCGAAACAAAGAGAAAACTAACAACTCAATTTTATACAATTGAAGGCGTTTTTCTCGAACGTTAGGTAACCCAGTTAGCTCAATCTATTGAGCAGTAATATTAGTTGGCAGTTAAACATCTCGGGCTTAGCGCTAATAAAAAGAAATCTTGGTAATAGAAGGATAAGGAATAGCGTAATGTAGTTCGAGTAGCTTTCAATCTTTCAATTTTTTTAAATATGTGGATGCGATTATGATTTTTAGATCGTCTTGCTATGTCCCACATTTTGGTGCCGCGAGTAAGATTCATTCTTTCTAAGTTATTTCGAGAAAACAAACGTGCTAGCTATGCTGCCGTTCGCAACAGCCATCTATGCTTTCAACGCGACTTGCGTCTCGGATGTCGCTAAAGATACCTTAGAGAACGCGACTTTCCGTGTGCGTGCCTTCTAGGGAAGGTTTATGCACGTTTCTGTATATAGTGCATTGCTAAATTTCTATTAGTATAGCTGTGGACCATTGCCTAAGCAGTATTTAATATTTTCGTAATAATTCACTCGTTGTTAGGCGCGGATGAATTCAATTTTTA